TCTTCAAACATAGGTGGGTCTTCAAAAGCATCTAGGAGGGTATCATCCCTATCGGTCTCCTCGGATTGGTCTTCTGTGTCACTAGGATGGGATCTCTCGGACTCCTGAGATAGGGCGTTAAACAACTGATCCAAATGATTCTGCATTCTAGAAGAAAAGGTCTCCATTCTGGCTGAAGTAATATGCATGAACTGTATGAGCGTCTCTTCCAAGTCAGAAAGCCTCTTTAAATCTGCCTCCTCTTGTTGATTCTGTGGCTCATAACTCAGCAAGGATGTAGGAGTGGCTGAAACATTTGTGCTTGTAAATTGTGGGGAGGACGAATAAGGGTATGCAGTTTCCCGAAAAGGATGGTCATATAGAGGTTTGATAGGGCAAAGACATAAATGGTGACCTCCTCCACAGAAGGAACAAATGCTACCCTTAAAACATTCAGATATTTCCTCAGGCGTTTTAGTTTAAAGAATAAATTCAAGAATGGAGCCTGGTCTTACGTTTACCCAAGGGTATTGTGATGAAGGATAGTAAGAATCGGAATGAAAAGGTTGTGTGGTTGGAGTGTATGGATAACAAGGCTGAATATTTTGTGGTGTAGGAGAATAATATTGGTGAGGTGTGTAGAATTGAGGAGGAGGAGGAGGAGGAGGAGGAGTGTAAGGAGGGTATGTCGTAAATGGTGAATATTCCATGGAGGTTTGAGGGTAAGGAATTCCTCTAGAAATTTCACTGAATGGGTTCATCACACGCCTCTTAGAAAATACCTGAAAGGTTAGTACAGAAAAATCCTACAGAAAACTAAAAAAAAAAACTAAAAAAATCTCTCTGAAATTAATTAACCCTTAAAACCGACACCGTCCCCGGCAACGGCGCCAAAAACTGATGTTAATTTTCTCGCACTTAGAGAGATTGTAGAATAGCGGTGAAAGTACGAGTATCGTCTCCACATGGATGGACAAAAGGGAATCAAGGATTAATTAAATTCAGCGATTAAAAAGGAATAAAATAAAATAAATGCGTCGTGCAAGATTGGTTGGTTGAATTAAAATTAAACTAATGCGAATGAACGATTAAAATAAAAGATTGGGTTCACTCTAATTAACGACGAAGGGAGCAGGGATTGATTCCGGGGTAATCAGATTTCTGGCAGATCAGGCCTAATTACATGAAATTAATTTAATTGGGCCTAGCTAATCAATACTAAGTTCTTACCGCTCTCGCGGCGTAGAGTACAATAATTAATGGGACCGGGCAGATCTCTCATGCGACAAGATTCTAAATTATTGCCAAGACGAGCGAGCTTACGGTCCCTTAACCGCTATTAATCTCTTATTGAATGATTAAGTGTGCGTGAATGTGTCCTAGAACAAATTAGATCTCTCTTAATTTATTCTATGTGAAATTGTAATTCTATCCGCGGTTCCAGGTTACAAAAGATATCAATTAAATTATTCAAACACAAATTAAACGACATTCATGCAATTAAACCATCAAGAATCTAGCCATACATCGTAATTAACCCCTTCATCAATCCCAAATCCCTAATTAAACTACTCACAATTCATAATTGAAAAATCAATAGAATTGGGAAGAATAGAATAAATTGTCATTAATTAAAAAGATGAACTTACAAATAATCCCAGGGTCTTGGAGTAAAATAGCGGAAAACAATGAATGAATTCGTCCCTAGGCCTCTCCGTAATGTTTGTGACCCTTAAAAAGGGTTAGAGAGGCCTTATTTATAGAAAAGAGGGGGAAAATCACAATTCTGGTCGATGTGGGAAACATTCTGCGCGTAAGTTCCTCCACGATCGTGCGTAACGGGCAGTAGCTCCTCCACGGTTTTGACTCTTACGCACGATCGTGCGTCCCATACGCACGGTCGTTCGTCCGTGTTCTTCAGCCTTTTCTCTAGACCGATTTTGACAAAACCTTCTTCACGCAAGTTGTAGATAATGAAGTCCTCTATCCACCCCAACTTGCCGAATATGATTTGAATCATCCAATCAAGAGATATGATCAAAACGGTGGAAGGTGTCATTCTGAAATCGCAGCAGAGATCATCTGACTTCATCATCTGTTTTCACCTTCTTGCTCTCTTATTCTCGTAATGGTGTTTTCATATGATTTGTATCCCGTGAATTTGTCTTTCAGATACAACTTGAATCATGTCCATTAGTTGTTTCTACAAAGAAATATGTTTGAACGATTGACAGAAGGTCATCCTGATCATCGTTTTCAAGCTTCATTCATCTTCTTTTGATCCCGAAGCCAATCCTAGAGCTCTTTTGTCATCAAATCTTCATCATAAACCTCCCGGTGACCTCCATATCTCTCAAATCAATCTCAAATGCTTCTCAACTCATCCCGATTTCTCCTCAAGCGCCAGTGCCGAACTCTAAAATCCCGATTTTGACTCCAAATGACACAAAACTCAAACCAACACCTGTTAAACATAACTTGAGCTAAAATTGAGACTTGTAACACCTTAAAGCTAGGAAAACCATCAAAAGCCGATCTCAACATGCATCAAATGCGTGTCTAAATACGGACTTATCAAATTGCATTTAGATGTTACATTATAGTGACTATAAAACTTACACATAGTAACTTATAGTCACAGTTTTGTGCATAAATTTTTTATTGGTAATATTTTAGGAAAAATCTCAACGAATTGCTTACTATCAAATAACATTTGGTATTTTTTGTTTGTCCCAATATATGTCTTTATTATTTAAAAATAACAAATATTATAAGATTATATAATGACAATGTATTACAGGACAACTACTAAAGAAACATATTAGAGAAACATATAAAACCAATATGGAATACTATAAAATTGAACAAATCACAAATGATATCCTTAATGATCGTGTTATATATTAAGTCCTGATAAATATAGACACCGAAAAATACTTTCACAATTAAAGTTTTTATATCCGAACAGATATGAACTTTTTTGGTATTTTTTACTCCCTCCGTTCCTTATTAAACTTTACACTTTGACTTCACACATATTAAGGAAATAAATTTGATTTTACCATAGAGTGTATTGTTTGGCATTGTTTGGCACTATTTTGCATTATTTGGTGTAGATTTGTTTGCCAAATAAGACAAATAAGGAAGTGTAAAGTTTAATATGGGACAACCAAAAAAGAAAGTGTAAAGTTAATTAAGGACCGGAGGGAGTATATGGATTAATTTAAAACTGAATAAGATAATGAGCAAATACTCACAATACACCCTTTCTCGTCTGGACTAGCATACTCCCTCCGTCCCCGAATTATCTTCAAACTTTCCTTTTTCGTCCGTCCCAAAATTATCTCCTCCTTCCTTTTTTGGCAAAGAATTTGTGGTTCACAACCATTCTTACACATTCTTACACATTTCTCTCTCCTCTGCACAACTCTCCACCACACAAAACCCACTATCTTAATAAGTGTGCCCAGCCGAAATGGGAGATAAAATAGGAACGTAGGGAGTACTATATAAACGGTACATGACACTTTAACAACTCCACCAACCTAAAATTACCCCATACCCTTTAAACGTAAATAACAACCTAAAATTGAGATATTAAAACTAGTTTTCACTTCAAGTATCTTCTGATTTGACAACATTCAGACACTCCAAAATGAAGGACACATGATCCAAACTCACAGCAGTTAAGAATGTTGACAACATTCAGACACTCCAAAATTGTGATGTATATACATATGTATAAATATTTATAAGTAGTAAAAAATATAGTGGAAATTTAAGTTTTGGTCCCTGCTATGTAAATTACTTAAGCTCCGACCTCCGTAATTTGTCAGTCCTGGCTTCGCCATTGACTATCGGAAAAGGATACTTAAAATGAATTTCTAACTTTCTTGAACATGTACTCCCTCCGTCCCATAATATAAGATAGATTACATTATATGGTATTAAACCAAATTAAGTTTGATTCATGAGCCCGAGTAATAATAACTCAAAATGCATACAATCATATACAAAGCCATTACAATGGGCTACTACTCTCTTATCATAATTTGGGGAGATCGACGAACAACGTAACCAAATGAGGCAAAGCTAGATCTAAATCATAATTATAACGCTTAATTGTTTGTGTCCAAATAATTTGTTTTCGTTTTACTAGAGAAATCCGGCAAAGTGAATTGCATACGCCACATGTAATAAATTTTTTCAAGGTGACAGACAATTGTCATTACAAACACGAAAAAAAGGATGACACCTCATCTCTGAGGACCCCCAACCCCGATCGGACGGTACGTTGAAAGGATGTAAATTGAACTATAATCTCAATGTGACACATAGAGAGTGTGGTTCTGTCCCCGGTACTTGCAGAGGCCCTATGCATTTTTAGCATAGTAACCCCTCATCGAAGTTGTCGGGATTCAAACTCGGAGCCTAACCCTTGTGGCACTCCCTTACTACCAGTTTAGCTATGTCTACCGTTATTACAAACACGAAAAAGAATTGTGTGGCGTGTAAGTGGGCGACTACCCGTACCCGTAGAATGTTTGAGTGTTTGACGAACAATGTTTGATATTTTCAAAATGTGAAACTCATGCACTCACGCATTGTGCAAAAAGTCAATCTCGTCACATATGTTTTTATGAAATCACAACACTGAACATTTGTATTAAGGATGTATTCTTTTGTATTAAAATTTGCTGGATCTGATCTGATTTGGTAAATGTTGGTCTCTGTATATTTTATACTCCTTCCGATTCTCAAACAACTTTCCACTTTCCTTTTTGGGAAGTCCTGAAATTAACTTCACACTTCTTCTTATTTCCTTATTTGGCAATTTTTCTACACCAAAACAGTGCAAAACAGTGTCAAACAGTGCCAAACAGTGCCAAACAGTGCATTCCACAATAAAGTCAAATTTATTTTTTTAATTTGTGTGAAGTCAAACTGTGAAACTCTTTGAGAACCGAAGGGAGTAAATACGAAAGTCTGATCTGATATCATCAGCTCTGGTCTCATTTGGTGTGGGAGGGAAAGAGTTCCATAGAAAACATCATAAAACAAGACAATCATCATGAACATTAAATCAGAGTGACACCTCGATCGAGATTCTACTATTCTTCTTCTTTTCTAATAAACTCATATTAATCCAAAGGCCGGCCATCTGATCCGATCCACTACCTACCTATTAAGGAGTAGAAAAACTCATTCTACTGATTAACGTTGTCATCCTCAGCTCTTTGGTCGGCATAATGGAGAAGAGGATCGAGAATAATATAAACTGCATAGCACGTGAGTGTGAAGTGGAAGAGTAGGCCGAGCGCACCAGCAATAGTGGCTCCTAAAACCTTGGAGCAGAATTCCGGCGACACTATACAAACCGGCCACCATTTCACATGAGAATTCCCATCCCGGAGAAGAAAATAGGTGTACATTGCTGCGCTCACGCCTGAAGCTTGGACCATGTTCACAATCTTATCGTACAAACAAAAACAAAAACAAAAAGTTACCACATATCGTTACTAGCTAGTAATATTAATCAAGACCTTTTATTTTTATTTTTAAAGATAAAATTAAATATATATGCATGCAATGTGTGTGTGTATATATAAGAAGATCTTTATTAATTCGTACCACATCTATGATGACCACCAACCGCCACAACGGACTTCCATTAGGAAGAAAAATAACAAGAAAGTTGTAAGATCCTCCGATAAAAGCCATAACCTTAAAGAACCTGTTGAAAGACAAGTAAAAACCTTTCTCAATACAACGACAACAAAAATATTCTTATATACTATCCTCTTTATCGCATTAATTGCAACATTGGAATATATACACTATTCATGTACTTTACTTTGACTACATTTTATTTATTAATGTATGTAAATTATTATTTTTGAAAAATATTATTAAATTCATCTCATTACTAAGTTTTTTAATCTGATTTTTATTTTATTTCTACTAATACATAATTAAATATAATGACGATCCAAGTTGTGCGTTGACAAACGTGAAATGTTGACTGCTGCAACTATAAAAAGACGGAGGAAGTATATATATAAAAAACGTATGCTTCAATAGTTCAATTCCCCTAAAAAGTGAAAAATTGGATAGTACAAAAATACAAAATGATTTGTTTGTAAAACCATCTCGATCGCTCCGATTGGCAGTTATACAAATTAAACTAACATATAATTAAGATCGTTACGTCTCTTATTACATTAATTCTTTAGAATGAAAATCTAAATAATGTTAATATATGGCATTAGCCGGGCAAAGTAAGCTTTGATTTATGAGCCTGACTAATTACTTAAAACTAACAAACACAAAGGTAATGCGCTGCTCTCTTATCACAATTAACAATTAGGGGGAGACAATCGTTTGGTATAACTGAAGTCTAGAGTTATGAAGTTCTGACTGAAGTGCTGTATTGGCTGTTTCTTCTGATTTATGTAAAAAAATCATATTTATAATATATTATATCAATAAAATAAAGAAAAAATTATATGAAAAATAGCTAAAATGATCGTCTAGAGTAACTTCAACCAATACATCCAGAAACGTAACTTCAACCTTGTTTTTTATTATTATTACACAATTCAGTACGCAAAATCAAAAGTTACGATTAAAAAGTTGATTGATAAACTGAAAAACAGAATCATCAAACATGCATGCATAAAAGATGGAAGTATTATATTAATTACTTGAAGCTGCCCCAAAATCTGTGTGATATAACGAAAGTGATGCCATTCTTGTTGACATCTACGCGGCACAGTGTCATCGTCGAAGCTGCTGCGATGCTTAGGGCACAGGCTAAGCCTCTGCATACCATCGACAAATCTGTCTTCGCCATGCCGCCGCCGATTATTTCACTACACCAAACAACCCAATTCAACTAAAATTAAATAATTTTAGTTGCCAATTGAGTAAATTTTTACGAGAGATGTCCTGTACAATAATACTAATTGCCTAATAATATTGTCAAGCCCGTATATATGGGAAGGGAATATTGACTAAAGCCATATATATATATATAAGGAAGAATGTTTTAACTTTTTCTTTTGCATGTGCAAGTGTTTACCAATTACCGATGCACTGCAATATTCAAGGAGTATCATATCCGACAAGGTACTACCTACCTAGTATATATAAGAACATGTTTTTATCCCAAAAAATAGGAACAATCACTTCAATAAATGGAAAATATTGCCAAATATAGCATTACTACTAAATTCCTCCATATGGAAATATTACTACTAAGGTCATCTCCGACAAGCACCAACTTCTACACCAAAATGGTGCATTTGTCAAAAAAATGCTCAAATAGCCACACCATTTCACCATTTTGGTGGAGTGCCTTTGGCTTTACGCCATATATGGCATACACCAAATCCAACACCATCTTCTTTTTCTATTTTTTTTATTTCAAATGTGACCCAAAGTTTTGATTATTATAGTTTTGACCCATTTTTAAAACAACAAATTAGGATGTTTTTACTTGGACTAAAATTTGTTGGTCGGATTTGGTCTGGCCTGGTCTGTTCTGAACTGATTTGGTCTGGTCTGATTTCTTTGTATTTTTATAACTATCCAAGTCTGGTTTAATCCGGTTTGATCTGATCTGAGACAAATTACAGTCCAAGTAAAAACATCTATATAGAACAACAATTTTAAATTATTAATTTGATAGAAATAACAAAAATATAATAAAATTTAAATCGCACAATATTACAAATAAAGTTTCAAATCGAAACAACATAATAACAGAATACAAATGATACTTAAGAAAATAACATAATTAAAATTACAATTAATAACACCATTATAATTAGTGAAATATTGATTATTGTATTTTAATTAGTGAAATGCGTGAAAATACATATTAAAATGGTGTATTTTATTTTGTATGTGTGAAATGTCAAAATATTAAATGTGGGGCTAATGTATAAATATATGATAATTAGATACTTAAATAGAAGAATGGTAAAAAGTTAGTAAAAAGAATAAAAAGAGAATATTCCTTTTTGGTGATGAAAATGGTGTAAACTGTTGGAGATAAAATATTGTTTGATGTGATGTTTACACCATTTTAGTGTAAAAAATGGTGTAAACTGTTGGAGATGGCCTAATAGCATTACTACTAATATCACACTACACACCCACACAGGTAGCTCAACTGGTAAAACGGTGGAAAAGTCGGACAAATGACCAAGGATCGAAACCAACAGTGATTGTGTGGAGGTCACAGCTCCGTTAGAATTGCTTGAATCACCATTATTTACAACCTCCCATGTGCTCTGTCGAGTCGGGACGTGGGGGCCATTGGGTTTGGGGATTCAACCTTTTTGGACAAACTAATTCATCATTACAAAAAAATGCGGGATTGGCACAGATTAATCGATGATTTCATGCAAAAAGCTCGTGCCAAAGTGTTTTTGGCACGAATATGACATATCCTTGTAAAATGTTTTCATGATTTTTTTCAAATCCCTACCAAAATTCTCTGTCAATTTTGTGTTTTTCTGTAGTGTGAATAGAACTAGTTATTACTTTCAATTTCAATAATTGGAAAATACGTTAAATACAATGTATAGTGAAAATACTGAATTACTACATACTCCCTCCATCCCCAAAAGAAGTTCCTAGATGAATTTCACACATATTAAGGAAATAAATTTACTATGGGGTAAATTTCACTGTTTTGACACTGATTCGACACTGTTTGCACTGTTTGGCATTGTTTGGCATTGTTTTGATGTATATAATTTGTCAAATAAGGAAATGTAATGAAGTGGAAACTTAATTCAGGAACTGCTCAAAAAGGAAATGTGAAACTTGTTTCAGAGCCGGATGGAGTATGATAGTATGATTTCATTATCCTAAAATACTGTCCATCGTAACACAAATACTCAATGAAAATATGACTATGAATTTAGCACGGACGTCCTACTCCGTATTATTGCAACTTTTATTTTTTTTAATAAAACGGGGTATCTAGTATTTATTTTTTGAGGATCAATTGGTTTGTTTACATAGAAAGTCGACGGTATCTTTTTTATGAAAGCTAGATAGACTAAGATAGTAGATACAGTCGGCCTTCTATGTAATTTAGTGTGACTTTCATAAAAAAGATGTATTTTTTTTTTAGTTTATACTTGTTGGATCATTTGGAAACGTAGAAATATGTTCCTCTTTGATGATAAAAATCTTTTAGTTTCTGAGGCCATTGGCTTTGTCAATATGGAGATTAGAGATGGGAGTAGGGTCAAACCGATTGTCACTAAAGCCCATAATCCCCGATTAAAGATATCATGTGTATTAATCCTGTTTTGAACAAGAATAAGCGGCACAGTTGTATTGTTTGTTGGAATAAGCCCCGCACGTACTGGTTTTATTAAAATCAATATCTCCATTGGATCGGAAATGATAAAGATGGTGTGTGCATGACGTGCACTCGTCGTTAGGTGCACTCAAAATAATTAATCAATACAACACTAATACATAGTATAGTGTAGTAAGGTTCGTATCCACAGGGAAAGGAATACTTTTCTTTTATATAAATAGTAACAAAAGGGGGTTTAGATTTGTTTGCTTTAATAACACTAAGATAAACGACTTATATGAGTTTAATTCAATGAGATGGGGACTTGGTTTTGCTTTTATCCACTTAATGAAATGTTCGTCGATCCCGGTTATATCTTTAACTATCTTCCTCTCGAATACTCAATCGAGGAGTATATCCAGTTCATCGAGGGTAGTTATTAATAACGAGATGCGTTCATTAATAAAACTTACTATCGAGTCAATATAGAACAAGCGCCGTATATTAACTTGATAGTAGCAATAAACTTAAGATGAAAACGATTGAGATTGATAACCTCAACACAAGCGGTTTATTGGTTTAATCAATATAATTAATTCCCCTTGGCATATTAACCATGAGATGCATGCATTAATATCCCAAGTTTACTACCGTTGAAAGAACCGGATTAATAACAAGCGTATTAACCGATTGATTCTAGTAATAATTAATACGAGAAACAATACTAGTTGATACTTTAAGTAATGTTTAAGATATTAACATGAAATATGAATAGGAATTAATCAATACTCAAGGAAGAATATTAAAATATATGAATCCTACTATGATTAATATCAAGATGTTAACTAATTGTCATCTTAGCAACACTCCCCAATATAATCATAGAGGAAGAAATAGCTATTACTATAACCAATGTCAAGATGTTAACTAATTGTCATCTTAGTAACACTCCCCAACTTTGATATAGAGATAGTATTTTGAAAGAAAGAATTAATATTCAAAGAAGAAGATTAAAGAAAATAACTCACAACTTACAAATTCATTAAGCTTCAAAGTAGCAAAACCAAGATGGAAGGGTTTAGCTCCTCATTTGGAGACTAAACATGATGAAAAATATAAAGAAAGAGCTATTCTATACTGAGCTTAGATGTACAAGGGATTGAATATCTTTTTGTGAAGGAAAGGAGGTGTATTTATAGGTTTTTGGGATGGGATTCGGGTACTCGATCGGGTATATACATGGTACCCGATCGAGTATGTGTGTAACACCCGATCCGAGGCATACTCGACCGGTTTTAGGCTATTTTCTAAGTGTATACCCGATCGAGTATATATGAATACCCGGTCGAGTATGCTTAGAAAGTGGTATTCGGGCTATACTCGACCGGTTTCAGGCTAGTTTCTAAGTGTATACCCGATCGAGTATATATGAATACCCGGTCGAGTATGCTTAGAAAGTGGTATTCGGGCTATACTCGACCGATCTTCGTTTGCAATTTAAAGGCATACCCGATCGGGTATGTCGGTCTACCCGATCGGGTATAGACATAGAATCGTGGCCAAAATCTTCCCTGCATGTTCCTTTGTCTTCGGATCTGATCCGATTTGAAGTTCCAACCTAATACCCGATCGAGTATAGCTAATACTCGACCGAGTATAGACCAAAATTCAGGATCTTCTTTTGTCTTTGAACTTTTGCACCTTCTCTTCACTTTTTGGGTTCACCAACTGTACTTTGGGTAACCAAAACCTGCTTAAGCTCAGAATATGTCTAATCTAACCTATTTACAAGAATTTAACAATCTAATCTATTACACCAAAAGTGTGTAATTTCCAAAGTAAAATTCAAGCAAAACTAATTAAAAACATAAACATAGAAATTGAAATTACGAACGTATCAACTCCCCCACACTTAAACCTTTACTCGTCTCGAGTAAGATCAAATGTTTACAAGTGTCAATGTTTGTCCAAAAGTTCCACAGTTCAACAAAAATATAATACAAACACAAAGACCACCAAGGATTACAAAGAAAAATGAGTTTTAAACTCAAATCACAAAAGAGCATCTTGGGTTTAATGGCCTCCTAGTGTTGTCTTCTTTTCTCCTCCTCTCTTCTTTATCTTGAATCTTCATATTCTTCATAAGGATACAATGAGTGCCTGCAAGAACAAACATTTCTCTCATATCTCTCATTTTGCCTAGGAGCCTTTTCAGGTTTTCATCCTAGCACCTCTTTTCATTTTCCATTCTCTCCAACTCACTCATTTTTTTTATAAGCCTTTTTTGCTTAGATTGCCCATTTTGTTGGGTTTTCAACCTAACTAGCATTTATTTTCTTTTGTTTATTATATTTTTTTTTCTTTAATTTTTTTTTTTTTTTGAGTGTAAAAGTTCAAAAGAATTACATGCATAGTGCTAGGTACAAATGAGAATTGCATACCATCATGAGTGTCTCCCCCGCACTTGAATCACGCACTGTCCCTAGTGCCCGCCTTCTCCTCCGTAGTAGCTCCCTCCAAAACCGCTCCCTTGGCCACCATCTCCCATGTAAGTGTCCCCGCCATCTCCGCCGTCGTACCCTCCACCACCGGAGCCAGATCCTCCAAAGTTACCCCAATGAGTGGGGTCATACCATGAGGGTGGTGG